TTTAAAACAAGTAATAAAGGTGAATAAAGTAGGATTCAATGAATTCATCAAATTTCGGTAGAACTCGTCAGCTGAATACTCTACATACACGGATATATATACTTTTGAAATTACATTGGGAGATATAAGACTGATAAGTAAACAAACTACATTGAATTAGTCATGCAGAAAGACAGGTGAGAATGTTTTACAGTTCATGTTCAAATACATAAGGGGAGAGAGAGAGAATGAAAGATCAAAATTAAGATAAATTGCATCACTTTAGATAAACAATTAGTCATTCGAGAATATAACAAGAATTGCATACCGAGTAGCATCAATAGTAAAAGTTATCATAACAATCATAATAGTGTTGAAGTGAGTTAAGATAATCCTACTGATAAAGGATAGTTTCAAATAAATCAAGAATAATAATAATAAGAGGTAGAACAATAAGTAAAACGTATTACCATGGTAGATTCAGAGTCACGACCATTTCTTTTCGTACACAGAAACCTGGTTTATAAACTTGAATTGCGCAAGCCTCCCTGGCAGTTGCAAGCATCTTCTTGTTTGTTTGTCTGCTGACAATAGTGAATGAATTCACAGCGTCGACATCATGTCCGTAGTCCACAAGATGTTTTGTTGTTGAGGATTTTAGCACTTTGCACTCAGCTGTTTTCAACCATTTTGGCAAATGCTCCATCATGCGAGTAGAAAATTGCCTTTCTGTACGACCCTGTGTATTTGCTTCCACAAGCACACTCAAATTGATATGCTTAGTTTGAAGTGTCCAAGACTGACGACTAGTCCTTCCAAGATTGCTGAAGCACTCGCTAATCTTTCTTAATATTTATCTCTTATACTCTCTCTCTTTTCCCTTATCTATTTGAACACGAACTGGAAAACATTCTCACTTGTCTTTCTGCATGACTAATTCAATTTAATTTGTTTACTTATCAGTCTTATATCTCCCAATGTAATTTCATAAGTATATATTTATCCGGGTATGTAAAGTATTCACCTTACGAGTTCTACCGAAATTTGATGAATTCATCGAATCCTGCCTTATTAACCTTTATTGCTGGACTGTGGTTATATGATAACCCTGCGTAGAAACTTTATGATTAATAATAAAGCAAGGTGATACCAAGAAAGCTCTTGATTTTGCTGAAGCTTGTGCAATCGATCAGATTAAAGAAGCCCAATCTGTGTTAACAAAAGGAAACAGTAGTAGTGGTAGTAGTAGTAGTAGTAGTCAGCTCACATCTACCTCGATATTATACACTGACCCGCCTTCCTTCTTCTCTTCACAATGTTTCCTCCATTAATGTTATCATCATTTTATCCGAAATATTATTTGTTTTCCTAGGATATGTGTAAATTGATGAGAAGCGTTCAAATTTATCTTATACGAGTTTAGATTAGACATGTTAGAATCTTGCAATTTAGTCCTCTTTGGCTTACCTGTGCTAAATTTACTTGTTAAATTTTTGACGAAGTTTCCTTGTAGTTCAATATTATTATCATCATCCAATCTAGATGTTTTTAATTTTATTCATTCTACCTCAATCACTGGATTTTGAATGTTAATATTGTAGTACTTTAGCGAGTATTCACTTATTCAGTTAATAATGATGCTAACAGATTATCACTCATCCATCCATCCACCCATCACTGATAGATCCATCCTGTAGTTGATCAAATCTCTTCAAACTAACACTTGACAATTAGTCTGCTGGTCACTAGCGACTGATCCCAAATAGTTAGTCACCTCGGGTTCTAGTAAGAAGTCGTAACCAGGTGGGGTCCACGAAGTTAGGCAAGTGAACAGTCACTGGCCCGTGACGCTGGCTGGCGGTGGTGACAAATATACACATCACGAATTCGCAGGAGGTAAAATTTGTGAGCTGCTCGCTGGATTGGGTCCCACCGGCTGTATGGTCTTCAGGCTCACTAGTCTCATAGCCGGACGGTACTGGGTTTTAAACCCCCTCGTTGTGGCGGGTGCCTACTGATGAAGAGTCCCCAATTAGAACGACAGAAACATCTGTGCGGTACTTCCAGCTATTGACATTGTTCCTTATTTTTTTTGTATGTATTGTACTTTTAGCGGAGACTGTATAAATAACAAATGTCTGCAGAGAAGTATTCAGCTGAATTCAAAAAATACTCCGTTTCTTTCACAGTTGTTGCTTGTTTTAAACTTACTGTTATGGGAGAGAGAGTTTTTTCCAACTTAAAATATGATTAATATTAATATTAAGGACGGATATCCTTATGGGAGGATAATCACTCGGAACTTTTACGCCCTACCGGTCGAAATATTAAATAAGATTTTTATTTATGCTCCTAGGATGTCTGACCTCATTGTATCAGTGATGTTATATACATATACACACATATAAATGTATATATAATAACTACAAGCCCTCAAGCCCTTAATAAATGGAAACTAATTTCTTCCTCTCAATGAACGAATCTATTTTAGCAGCTGCTCAAATCTTCCGTATCAATCCTCTTTACAGCGAATCATTATTATCGATTCTCATCTGTGGATTTTGGAGGTATGCCTGACACTGGACATAAATTGTCCTCAAAATTCAGATTTTCTAAAGTCTTCTTGTCAGTCCAGTGCATGCCCGACCTCTCATTTCCCTGACCGATAGCCACTACCTTGACATGGTGACCGTGCTTGCATTTCGCAAGTGAACAACTAGCTACACTGACTGGGGATAATGTTCCTGCTGATGCTACTATGCCGGAAAGATTGTAAGGATAGCTATTAGACTAAGAGCAGTTACCGGCATAACGTAAGTTTTTTCTCACACTGTCCCGCGTGTCTGTGAGCGAAGTAGTACTGCTGGGGAATAAGGATGTACCAACAGTATTGTCGATACAGCTTAGCGGTCCTCTCCGTCCTCCTTTATGACTGGCTAGGTTGACTGTGGCACACGGCCATTCACACAGTGGAAGACACTGAAAGCCTTGCTGGCTAGACGACTAGCTTTCTTTGATCGCAGGTGTCTGCATTCTATCTCCTGTGTTGTTTGGTGGTAGGTGGAGTAAATACGGTGAGCAATGTTGAGGTTAGCATCGGTTGATCGAGTGATAGGTAAATAAGGAGGAGGAGGGGGAGGGGAAATCAATCGATCATGAGGTTTGGAAGCAGTCAAACCGATTGAGATGGATGTGTGTTACGCATGCCCGCCTGCCTGGTCATCGTCAACCTTACTCGACCGACAGACTGGTGGGACGATATTAACTGACTGACATAGGATGGATTAGGTTGGAAAATAGCTAACCAGTGGTGGTGGTGGTGGTCAAACGGAAACCTTGGCTTCACTATCAGTCAGTGAAATCCACAACAGTTAGTTTTAGCCACCCAGTCAGCCAGCCACTTAAAGAGGTGTAGACAGCCTGACTGAATGACTGACTGGCTGGTTGGGGTCCTCAAGATAATGGTAAAATCCAATGAAAGCTGGAGACAGTCGGTGCATGTTGGAAGGTATGGCAACTGAAACTGGTGCACATCTGTGCTATGAGCCCTACGCTGAAAACAGTCAGTCACTTATTTCCCACGATCTATTTCATGACTCATTCCACTACACTCAGAGTCATCATTGGTGATAGTAGGCAGTAGAACAATGGTAGACAGTTCTATATCCTTCTTGTCTTGGAATTTTAATGTCACTATCTGGGATCCTGCTCATTAATAAATCGTTGTAGTTGTCTGTAGGAGTTTTGCTTCTTCCATTGGTTTCTCTTCTTTGTATGAATGTGTGTAATACTGGAGAACTATAACCTTCCACTGTTAAAAAAATTTCAGTAATGTTGATGGTAATATCACCATGTTATTAGGAGCTAGCAGATAAACAAGCATGTTTTTAACCGCGTTAGTAAAAGTGGTTGGATGATTTTCTTCTGCATGCATAACTCTGATTTTCCCGACTTTGAATGAATTGCTAAGCTTTTGGAAATACAAAGGAGACATCTGTGTTCTTAGAAGTCTTGCATAGTTCCATAAATTTCCTGCGTTTCTATGTTCATCCTAATCACAACTCACTCGCTTATTAAACTATTCATCTTGTTACGTGACTGTATAACGAATGAAGACAAGGGCCAGGCAACAGATAGTTTATTAAGGAAATCAACACATATTTATAGATTTTCATGTACATTATTATAGATTGTTGTTAGCAGAAAAACACAGTCGTCTGATTGGTTGTTTCTCACTGAAAGGTAATCTTTCATCTCTTTGTGACTGTTTCTTGAATGTCACATCATCTATATTAGAGCAGTCAGTATCTTCGATAAATTTGTATAAGTCATTAAGAAGACAAATTTCATGAGATGGTATCATTTTGTAGTTTCTTTACAACCGCTATACAAGTAACTGAGTAATTATCATGATCTTTATTTTATTATTGTTAACCATGTTGGAAAGAAACTAAGAAATGTCGATATCATCTTGCGGCGAAATTTGTCTTCTAAATGCTTTATTCAGATCACCTATAGGCTAACTGTATCCATCTACGCAAACTAAGTCTGCTGTAGTTGATTGTTGAATCAGTCTTTGTTCTTATTTTTCTCACGACCAATATTGGGGACACAAACATTGACGTAAATTACTGTCTACCAATTTGGCTAGCAGTCAGCTCTCACCACAACTGTATTACGCTTATTCAACTTTTTTTTATGTGCTGATTGACATTAATATGATTTTTTGACAACTCATCACCACTACTCTCTCATCAACCTTAACCTCCCACCATGACAGTTTTGGAATGTCTTGACAACAACAATCCTAACTAACTGTTATTCTTACTGCACAAACATAATGTACATTACACACATGCAAAAAATATATATATAATTTAAATGGTACAGCTAAGTGAATGAATTTGCCACGGAAATGCGACTCTTCACTGAACTACATATTTTGTTTTCATTAGAAACAAAACTCATTAAATCGTTAATATTTCTCCTCTTTTGTCTTTCTCCCGCGTTATCAACTTTAGGTCCAGCTAAAATTGTCCATCCACCTTTGGATACAAAAGCTATCGCCGGAGAATCGATTTTATTTTTCTGTCAAGCTGAAGGTAATCCTACGCCAAGAGTTGTCTTCCGTTGGAATGATGTTGAAATAACACAGAATAGACCCGGGCTACAATTTAAAGAATTGTCTGCAGATAGTGTTGCTTTACGCGCCAAGCTAGAATTGAATCATAACGGAAATACTGTAACATGTTTTGCTCAGAATCATGTCGGTTCCGATTCAGCTACAGCCCAGATATCAGTATACAATGCAAATGAAAGTGAGTTGAGATTTCTGTTTAAATTAAATCACACTCAATGATATTTTTTTGAACAATATTCTCTTTAATTCTACTTTTATTTTGTTTAACTTTGTTCATGTTTATCGAGACTTGAATGGTTCAGGGACCGAAATTTGTATGACCCATAATATAAACTATCTTCTAGAAAGTCATTCATTATAATAAAGGTTACTTTTGTATTTCCCAATGAATGAGAAACAAAACGACACTGTTGTTTTTACTGACGTTTCGCTATTTAATTCTGCTGCTAATAGCTTTATCAAAGCAGTATTATTAAACCGGAATTTACTAAATCCACTCAGCATATATATAACAAAGAGTTAAGGGGTGAAAAAATAGACTTAGATCAAATTAAAGGGACGTATAGAAAGTCAGAATAGTAATGAAGATCACTAAACCAAATAACAAAGGTAACAGTACATCTGTTATGATATCAAAATAAAGTTTACTAACTTGATCATCGTTCTTTAGTCTAAGGTCGTATTTTTGTTGTCAAGTTGGTCATCTGGTAAAGATAACAAGATCAAGTGTAGATTGTTGAATTTGACCAGTGTGTAGAATTATAAAAGCAGTGTGTGTGTGTGTGTTTACATAGTGAACTTGCATATCACATTCATGTTGATTTTGTCACTTCATGAGGGAGGAGAGGCAGGTGTTGTAAGCAGGTCAAATTCTGTTTTAGTCCATCATTCCTATTCAGTTCAGACAATTTGGATTCCACTTGATGCTATGAAGTGCTTCTGACGATGTGAGACGTTCTTTGTGATTTCTGAAATGCTTGTTCTGGATGATGATTTCAATGTTGTCAAAATGAATTTTGTGGCGTGATTCTGTGTCATAGCGTGTAGACGACCTATGGCTGGCTGAAGATTTTTCAGGTTTTTCTAGTTCAACTGGATTTCTCGGTGGTCGAACAGATGCTCTACGGTGTTCATTTTTTCTGATTTTGATTTCTCGAGATGTCTGTCCGATGTATATCGCATCAGATTATAAGCATTTTATTTTATTTGATAGACACAATTAGATAGAGAATCTTTAACGATTTGGTCTTTCATATGAACAATGCTGTTTCGTTGTGTGTCTGATGTTTTGAAGAAAACTCTAATGTCGAGCTGATTGAGTTTTCTTCTGACATCATCTGACGTCTCTGTTCTTTATGGAATGACGACTGTTGATGTCCATGTTTTCGGAATGCGTTTTCGGCCCTACCTAATGTCTTTGTTGATTTTGTTGATAAAGTTCCTTGGGTAGTTATTTTGCATGAGGAGAGTTTCAGTAATGTTTGACATTTCTTCTTATTTTTCTTGCTCATCCGTTAACATCAGAGAGTGTGTTCGTCTAAGAAGACTTGAAACAACTGAAATCTTTGAGCTGATGGGGTGTGATGATTTGAAGTCTAAATATTTATTGGTGTGGGTTTTCTTCCTGAATATGGATATACCAAAATGTCTGTTTTCATTTCTCCTAACTAGCCAGTCTAGAAATGGTAGTTCACCGACGTCTGATTCTGCTTCCGAAGTGAACTGGATTGTGGGAGATAAACAGTTTAATTTCTCCAGGAATGAATTGTGTAGATCTCGTTTTAGTACTACAAAAGTATCACCTACATGTCTTAACCATATTTTAGGAGTGAGTACGCTTGAAAAGATCTTATTTTCGAATTTATTCATGAAAAGGTCGACGACCCCTGGGTAGACTGGTGAAAGTCAGTTCATTTCCTCCAATCCAGCTTAACTCATTTCTTTGAAAAGCATTACTGAGTGATTTCGACTCCTTTAGGCCCATAGACAAGCTTTACCAACGAGTAGCAGGGTTTCTGTCGATCGCCCTTACAAATCTAAAGTTTTGTTTGATACCCAAAACTGTGCACGCCTACTTTGTAATGAATGATTTTCTGCTCATTAGGGTGTACCCATCAAAGAAGACGACTTTGATGGGTGTCAGACACAGTTCAGAGATAGTGCTTGTCTTCTTTACACACGAAATTGTTCCGAACAGAATAATTTCCTCCTTGTTCATCTTGCTGATAACAAAAGTCAATAAAAGCTTTTTGAGAAGGAGTTGATGCCGACTGACACTAACTGTGTCGAAAATCGACATTCACTTATTAATTCCCATGTCGTGCACTTCTTACAATCCTCAATAACTCTATTCATCAGCAATGATAATACCAAAAAACATTTACTATCTCTTGGCATTAGGATAGGTTTAATAGTTTCACTTCCCATGAAAAAACGTTCAACTAAATCACCCATTGTATATATTCCCTTTCTTGTCACCCCCATCCTGACCACTGATGTATCTGTTGGTGTGTCCAGCAATAAGTACTTATGAATTATCTATTACAATAAACGATAACACAATCTCTTACATAATTTAGTCAGTAATAGCTGCATTTCAAATTCAAAGCAAACATAAAACCATTAAGTATTCTGATTTACTCATAAATAATTAATTCTGTCTTGCTATAAGCAGGAATTTTTATTTTTAGTAGTATAAGTTGCTTGCTTGCTTGATTGTGTTTCTTGTTCCCCCTCCACACAGAATTATGACCTGAACATGATTACTACTAATATTATAATTTCCTTGACTTCCTAGTGAAGTGTATGTTGTCTCCTATTCTATCTTTTGTGTAATGTAACTGATTCCCTGAATGTCAGAGATTTTTTTGCATTCCTTCACGTTCCTAGTGGAACATAGGGTGCCTTCAAGCTAAAGGCTTGAAGTTTCAGTAGCAGTGGTGTTCATTTTTACAGGATGGGGTCGCTAGCCTCATGCCCAACCATCCGTCTTCACCAGTCGTATTACTGGCTTAGCGAAGTAGAGGAGTGCGTCGGCGAGCATTCTACCGTTTCACCACTCCGACGCACAATTTCGGAGTTCTTTACAGCTTATTCCTGCTCACCAGCCGTCTAATCTTTAGTAATGAACCGAAGCAGGCAACTTTTGATTAAAATCTCTACTAGGTCTGTTTGAAATGCGCTTAGTGGAACATGAATGACTTCTATCTACTGATATTGGTTAATCAGTAGTAATATACGGCATAACGCCATTGAAATCGCATTTTTGACTGCTGTTTACGGCATCGATATAGACTAATCAGTTTAACGTAAATACTTTTGTTCTTCAAGTGCAAAATAATTATCTCAGGGTGTGTAATTTGCAAAACACATAAATCTGAATTCGGATGGTTTAACGTGTCTCACATAGAGACACTGCTGATGAATTTCTTTCCCTAAACGCTGAAACCGAGGCCCAGTATTTAGGGACTTCAACTTGACTGGCAAACAGCACCCACATTAAATCGGTCAGTAGTATGTAGGACTAAAAGACGTTTTTGTAAATCTTACTTCCTGATCCTATTTCACAACTGGATGAGTCTTAATATGTATCACACTAATCATTAAATTTGCTGGCAGCGATGAAAGAACTTGTTCCCTATAAATTTAGTTATGAATTACTCAGAAAATGTCAACAATTTAGAAATTGGAAATAAATTCGCAGGCATGCCTCATAAATCTCCTCAAAGTATCATAAAATCATCATTATTACTATTCCTTTGATTCCGAGTGGAACATGGTTCTTTAAAAACAAACCTGCACTCTCTTCTATTTTCTCTTGTCATCTTCATCCAAATAGCCCCACAATTCCACGAAATCTCTCATGCCCTCCCCCAGTTGATACCGTCTCCTTCATGCCACCTTCGCGCCGACCATGCACTAGTCTCTTCCCATTTACCTTGGACTCAGTTGATGACCCACATTGCACACCATGCCACTCCACCGCCTCAGCCTTCTGTGATGCATGCCCAATCCATTTCCATTTTATACCACGTATTTGTTGAGCAGTCACCTGTCAGTTGGTTCGTTCATTCATTACCAGAGTTTCTTGTAGCTAATTCTTTCTGGTCGGTCGGCTGCCCCTCTGGTTATCTGATCTTCAGTATTGAGCCAGTCATCCAGCCAGCCACCGAAGGTGGTAGCTATTGATTAGAGTCTGAAGCTGGCTATTGGAAATGCTTTTTGTGACACGTGCGCAGTAGAAGTTTCTCACCCGTGTAGAGGCGGCAACTGACGAGTCAAATGAATCACAAGATGTCACACCACGCGTCGGTGGCATAGAGTTTAGGACGCCCGCTGACCATGCACACGGTCCGGGGTTCGATCCCCGGCCACCGACGCACTCCTTTACCTAGCTAAACCAGAAATAATACTGGTAAAGAGGAAAGGTTGGGCATGAGGCTAGCAATGCCATCCTGTAAAAATTCAACACTGCTACAGAAACTGCAAGCCATTAGCTTGAGGCCCTAAGGTCCACTGGGAACGTGAGGGAAAAAAATGTCACAGCAAACCTCTCTTTGTCAATCCATCTTTCTCACATATTGATTTTTCTTCAAATATCTACTCAATTTCACACATGTGTATAAATGAGGGAAAAAAGTCATGTGAGTAACTTGATATGATTATGCGTGGCAATAGTTTGTGCTCGAAACGTCATCAGTTAATACTACTGTATGACACTGCGTGATTTATCAAAATAAAATCTTATCCATAATAAAATTATACTCTACCAGAGTGCCCAAGTTTTATACTTATGCCATCTTTATGACCTTTGAACCAATTAGATGGGATATGCTTATAACACCTTAGATAATAAACCTCCTCATATCTCCATTGAAAGTTGGAATTTCGATCGACTAGGAAAGTAGTAAACGACTTCACACGAAAAAATAACAAACCTGAAAAGTACTCCACTCTTTAATTCTCTCTTTTTTGCCGGGGGGGAGGGGGGAATTCTACATTTGACTTGTTTTCATTTTGAGATAAAACAAGTCCACCTCAAAAAAAATCTCTCTCCTTTCTACCTGTTTTATGTCATATCTTCTCACTTATCATCAAGTTTTAGGAGCGAAAACAGAAAAATCCGGGGGGTGGTAGAGGGCGGTGAAGATTAAAATCAGTAAAAAGAAAATGTATTTT